ATGATGTTTTTAAGCATTTAGACCAGGTCGGGTCAGGTCAGGTCAGGCCAACCGGTAGGGGGTGTGACGGGTATTCGTAATGCGTGTCAACCGCCTCTGACAGCTTCGTAACATGTTACGAAGGCACCAAAACTACTTCGTAAATGTTGAAATGGTTGCTAAATTCGAATTCAGCTCCAAAAACTAGCCTAGAAACATGTAAAACTCGAAAAAGTGAACCGAGGTCACCAAAGGTCAATGACCCACCTGACCTTCAGGTGACCTTGACACCCACCCTAATGTATGGGAGCAACATCAAATCACATGTTTGAACGTTTGAAACCACGAAAAGCTTGCAAACGCGCGGCTAATGCGAGCCGACATACGCCGAATCGCGATTTCGGCCAAACATGGTCACGGAAAAGAGGTCACAGGTCAAAGGTCATTGGGGCCAGGGTCATGAAATTTTCAGGGAACGTGTAAAATTGATCAATGCGAGGGTACTGAAAGGTTCGTCGCGATCGGCCGCTTTTTACGCGAGTTATTCGCGAAAAACCTTAGGGGGGGTTGCATCAACCCCCCTGTGCCGGCGAGGGTTAAAAGACCCCACGCTGGACATAGGCGGCCCCACGCTGGACATAGAGGGCCCCTCACTGGCCTTAAAAGGCCTCACAATGGTGTTAGACGGCTCCACGCTGGCCTTAGAGGGCTGAGCGCTGGATTCTTAGGGCTCTACGCCAGCGTCAAAGGGTCCCACGCTCCAGTCTAAGCTTCTTTATGGCCGCCAAGGCGGCCTCTTGAGGGCCCGACGCTAGCCTCTGGGGGCTCGGCCTTGGCCTGTGAGGGCCCTACGCTGGCCTATGAGGGCCATCAGATGACATTTTAGGATAGTTTGACGCAGTTGGACTTTATTTATGCTTGAGCCAGTACTTCGGATGAGGCCCTGAAGGTCGTTTCTCTTGGGGCACTCAAACAGGCACGTACCCAGGATTTCGCCCAGGAGGGGGCCACACACCTGCTCTCGAAGGGGCCCCCGGGTCACCCGGGGGCCACTGTCAGCCCAGGTAGGGGCGTATCCAGATTTTCCAGAACCTTTCGATGAGGGGATTGGGCACAGTGGGTCCGGTCCCCATTGCAGACGGGCCCCTCTGTCGGTCTGTGTGTCTAAGCCCTGAGAAAATGTGGACAATTGGCAGGGAAAAATATCTTTTTTGCCTGAGAAGTGTGCATAAAATGCACGGTATTTAATAAGGAAATGAAGCGAGCGAGCGCCTCAAAGTCACCTGTGTTGGTCCATCAGAGGTGTCGGTGAAAGGCCGTCAGATGCGCTGGTGTGGGGTCCTCACAGGCGCCGTTGTGGGGGCCTTAGGGCTGAGAGACACTAGTGGGGGCCGTCATAGGAGTGCGTGGGGCCCTGAAAGTTACTGGTGGCCCTTCATAGGCCGGCAAGGGACCCTCAGAGGCCGGTAAGAGGTCCTCAGAGTCGCTGGTAAGTGGCTGTAAGATGCGCTGGCATAGGGCCCTCGGAGGCGCTGGTGTGGGGGCTCTCAGAGCCGCCGAAGTAGGCCCTTAACCCTATTCCTGGCGGGCTCCGCCGGGACAAGAAACTGGCGGGGGGGGGGGGGCCGATTCGGCCCCCCCCCTGAGATCTCGAGAACGAAGCAAGATAGCGACAAGCGGTAAACGGCATCGGATACGCACGGTCAAGATCTACAATTTTTACCAAGGTCATTTTCAGGTCAGGTCAAAGATGACGTCACAGGGGTCGAAAAAGTCAAAATGGCGGCGCTGGATATGGAGAGATTTTTTCTCGAATAACTTTCGAATTAGTCAAGATAGGAACAAACTAAGGGCAGCATCGTGATCCTCTCGTCAATCCGCATCGAATGATATATATGTTGACCTCGAAAGGTCAAGGTCAAAGGTTGACCTCAGGTCACGTGACCTCGAGGTCATCATGTATATCATTCGATGCGTCTTGACGAGCTGAACACAATGAGACCATCCACGCGTCTGTATCTTGTTCCTGTACGGAGTTATTGGCCAAAAACCTTTGGTGACCTTTGATGACGTCACATGACCTCACAGCTGCCCAACAGCAAAACAGACCTCAAGGTAGTGAAGGTTGATCGTATATGAAGTCATGTATGTTATATGGGGCCATTCCGAGCCGTTTTAGTGGTAAAAACAGGGAGTTGATTTTTCCCCCATTGACTTATAATGGGGAGGTCGCGAAACTGACCTGACCTTAGGTCACCGATATCAAAATTCCGAGATATACAAATTGCACATACTGGTACCCTTACTAAAACCTGAAGAGAAGAAATTGATCGGTCAAAAACTCTAGCTCTGGCGTGATTGCAAACTTTTCTGAGGTAGGGTCACCAAACCGCCTCTGGTGACCTGACCTGAGGTCAGATCAACTCAAAATTTTCAGACATGTTGCGTAGAAGCCTTTTAGGAAAAGTCAGAAAATTTGAGCTTCCTAGCTCAACGCGTTTGGGAGAAATAACCAAAAAACCTCAGGGGGGGGGGGCTCCTGAGGCCCCCCCCGCCAGGAATAGGGTTAAGAGGCACTGGTGTAGGGCCCTTAGAGGTGGCAGTGGAGGCCCTCGCAGGCGCCGTTGTGAGGGCTCTCAGAAACACTGGTGTGGGCCGTGGGGCCATAGCAAACGGGTGTGGTGCCCTTACAGCTGATCCCTCACTGGCCGGCAAGGGCCCTCAGAAGCCGGCAAGGTCCCCCAGAACCCGGCGTGGGGCCCGTCTGGAGATAAGTGTGGCTACGTAAGAGCCCATGGGGTCTTCTCACAAGCCCTGTGACGTCCTTTCCAGTTGAAACGTGGCCAGCGCGAACCCTCTGCCGCCCATTGGCACCGCAGGGCCCCTCGGGCCCGAGGGGACCCTAATCCATATAACGGACACCTGCCCCCTCGCCCTTGGCTATACCATTGAATTATCCAAGTGATCAGGGGCCGTTCAGGTAATCAGCGGCGTCTCAGGTGACCAGGGGCTTTTCAATTGACCAGTGGCCCACCAGGCGACCAGGGGACCCTCTGATAACCAGGGGCCGGCTATACCAGGGGCTCCATGGGTAACTAAGGGCCTTTGTGTGACTGAAGGGGCCTTCATATAACCAGGCATTCCCCGGGTAAACATGGCCCCTCAGGTGACCAGGGTTTCTTCAGATCACTGACCAGGGGTCACCCAGGGGATCAGGGGCCCCTCAGGTAGCTAGGGGCCCTTCAGATAACCAAAGGTCCTCAGGTAACTAGGGGCCCCTCTGATAACCAGGGGCCCTCATATCCCCAGAGACCCCTGTGGTAACCAGGGGCCGCTCAGATAACCAGGGGCTCTCAGGCAATCACGGGCCCCTTAGGTAATCAAGGGCCCCACAGCTAACCAGGGACCCCTCAGATAACCAGGGCCCCTTAGGTAACCAGAAACCCCCGTAACCAGGGGCCTCTCACGTAACGAGGAGTCCTTCAGATAACCAAGGGCCCTCAGGTAACCAGGGCCCCCTCAGTTAACCAGGGGCCTGTCAGACAACCGGGGACCCCACAGTTACCAGGGGCCCCTCAGGTAACCAGGGGCCCTTCAGGGCCCCCGTGCCCCCTTGGGTACGTCACTGCACTCAAGTGACCCAAAGGACCCACTTGCATGTTTGATCCCAAATGGGAAGGCCATGGTCTCTTGGCCTGCCCCTGGATGGATACACTATTGCCGAGCAGCCCCCAAGCACTCGCCGCACCCGGCTAGGGGAGTGCTCTAACGGGCATTCCCGAATCCCGCGTGGAATGAAGTTGCCCGTCCAGCCCGGAGCAGGGAGCTGAGGAGAAGGATTTGAATGTCCTGAGGATGGAAACGAGTCGACGGAACGGCGATCAAAGCCAGGTTATCGATGTTTGAAGGTTACCATACGCATCAGCTTTGGTCCAAAAGTCAAAGTTCGTATTTCTGTAGCCCGAGAGCATATGACCAAATCGTTTCGATTTTCACCCACATAAGTTTCACCTAACAGTCAGTAAGCATAGGAAGTTTTAACAAGATCGAGAGGGGTGGGACGTTTTTGGCTGTCCCGGTTGACGTGAAATGCCCCCATTCCCCCATCGGTAATGGTGAAAGAAGCCCTATCATTGTTTCTCGCTTATATGCTAATGTACATGATGCATAGATGACTTCTGTCGACTACTTGCCTTAGCCACTTCCATCAAGCCTGTGTGTGTATACCTATTGCCTCGCCCCATTTGGTTAGCTGATGCCCCTCTCTGTATGAATCACAGCTGCTGTAATGTTCTGTATGTTCTGATGTTCTGCATGAATCACAAGTGCTGTAATGTTCTGTATGTTGTGATATTCTGTAAGGTTAAATATGGTGATGAAATTGACCAATAACATGGCAGTGAGATGTATTTTTATATAACAAAATAAGGCCGAAAATATAGAACGAGCTTTCGTCTTACGACATCATCGGGTTCTGGTCTAGCCGAGGCGGTGCGGTGCCTCGGTGCCTCGGTGAGGCGGTGCCTCGTTGAGGCGGTGCCTCGGTGAGGCGGTGCCTCGGCTAGACCAGAACCCGATGATGTCGTAAGACGAAAGCTCGTTCTATATTTTCGGCCTTATTTTGTTATATAAAAATACATCTCACTGCCATGTTATTGGTCAATTTCATCACCATATTTAATTATTTGATCATGGCAAAACCGACCATTCAATACATCAAGAGTTACATGAAACCCGAGAACACCTTACAGAATTGCCTGTTCAAGGCAATTCTGTAAGGTGTCTGTTTTTGTACCCCTGGATATATTTCAGGGGAATAATGCATTCTGTACCCTGACTTTAGCCGAATATGCCCCCCCCCCCTTCCTAAAAATAGTCACTTTGTAACAAATATAAATGTAGTTGTCTTTGATGAAATGCATCCACTAGTTAATCTCTTCTTCAGGGATGGGCATGCTTATGGATGTGATTATGATAAAAACAATAGGCATAACAATATTATTGATATTTGACAATGCCACATTTTCTGTTGCAGGTTTTTGCACACTTGAATCAAGATGGTCGGCAAGTTAGTGCCTTTCTTGTGCCTACTGACATGCATCGATTTAGCAACAACTGATTTGCGAACTCAGCAACTTAACCTTATCAGACCAAGATCTCTTGATTCTGTTGGATTCGTCACCAAACAATATCACAAATATAAAGCACGCATGAAGATTCTTGCAAAATTAGCCTCTGACTATCCACGTCTGGCAAAGGTTTATACCATCGGTGAATCTGTTCAAGGCAAGTCGCTTTTCGTACTGAAGATCAGCACTGACGAAAAAGAAAGACAGCTGGGAAAGCCCATGTTTAAATATGTTGGAAACATGCACGGAAACGAAGGTGTGGGTCATGAACTGCTGCTTAATCTCGCTGGTCACTTGTTGTTTAACTATGACAAGGACGCGCGGATTACTCAGCTCATCAATAGCACCGAAATTCACATCATGCCTACTTTGAACCCAGATGGTTTTGAGCTTGCTCGACCAGGAGATTGCACTGGAGAAGATAGGCATTCAGGAAGAACAAATGCCAACGGAGTTGACCTGAACAGAAATTTTCCAGACCAGTTTCGGACGAAGCCACTGACGCGGGAGACCATTCTGGCGGATCGTGAGCCAGAAACTCTGGCTGTCATGACGTGGATCATCAACAACCCGTTCGTGCTGTCGGCAAACCTGCACGGCGGCTCCGTGGTGGCCAGCTATCCATACGATGACACGCCACAGCCGAGCCCGCGGGGCTGCTGTGTGGCCAGCGACGGGCCCGATACGGCGCTGTTCCGCCGGCTGGCGGCCATCTACGCCCAAGGACATGCGTTCATGCACCGTGGAGAGGATTTTTGTCACATTAATGAGAGGTTTGCTGGTGGGATCACAAATGGCGCCATGTGGTACGACGTGCCGGGTGGAATGCAGGACTTCAACTACGTGTTCAGCAACTGCGTGGAAATCACTGTAGAGTTGTCGTGCTGTAAGATGCCACCAGAGTCTAAGCTGCTCACAGAATGGAGTAACAACAAAGAAGCGTTGTTGAGCTACATGGAGGCTGTCCATATGGGCGTCAAAGGTCTCGTACTTGATGCCAACAACGATCCCATCCACGGTGCGTACGTCAGTGTTGAAGGTATCGATTACAACGTGACGACCACCGAGCGAGGCGAATACTGGCGCCTTCTTCTTCCTGGAGAATATACGCTCATTGCTAGTGCCGTAGGCTTCCAGGCGATGCGTGCTTCGATCACGGTGAAGGATGGTGAGACATCACGACATGTGTTCCATTTACCTCGCCGCTCGGATTCTTCGGCACCGGACAGCTCGTCTGATCAAGTGGCCGCGGCCATAGCCGGAGGCGCCTTTGTGCCAAAAATCGGTCCGTCGGCGACGCCTCCGCCGCCAACTGTGTCGAGCAGCACCGCCTCGCCACCCACTAAGGAACCGGAACTGGCGCAGACGCTGTCGGCTGAGTTTCTCACGCCGCCGGACTGGCAGCATCACGACTACGCCAGCTTGGAGTCGTGGCTGAGGGACCTGGCCACGCGCTACCCTGACATCACTCGGCTGTACTCTGCCGGCGTCAGCGTGCAGAACCGCCAGCTGTGGGTGCTGGAGGTCTCCGACAATCCTGGACGGCACGAGCCGGGTGAGCCAGAATTCAAGTACGTGGCCAATATGCACGGCGATGAAACGGTGGGACGCGAGATGCTCTTGCTGCTGGCCCGCTATCTTTGCGAAACGTATGCCACCAGTAATCAAACGAGGGACATTGTGAACAAGGTACGTGTTCATATTATGCCTTCAATGAATCCTGATGGGTATGAGAACTCAACAGAACATGGTTCTTTCATGCAACCGGGTCGAACGAACGCACATGGCGTCGACCTGAACCGCAACTTCCCTGATCGCCTGGGAGTTTTCGAACACAATGCACACCAAGAGCCCGAAACAGAGGCCGTGATGCGCTGGAGTCGCCAGTACCCGTTTGTGCTTTCCGCTAACCTGCATGGCGGTTCGGTGGTGGCCAACTATCCCTGGGACTCTGACAGCACTCGAACGACTGGCGTGTATGCTGCCAGCCCTGATGACGCCGTATTCAAGAAGCTGGCGAAAACATATAGCATTTCGCACCTCACGATGCACACTGGCAAGGGATGCGGTACGATTGACAAAAATGGGTTCAAAGACGGCATAACTAATGGCAATCACTGGTATTCGCTAACGGGAGGGATGCAGGACTGGAACTATGTGAACACGAATGACTTCGAATTGACTATAGAGATCAGCTGCGTCAAGTTCCCGTTCGCTCACGAGCTGCCTCGATACTGGAACGAAAACAAGAAAGCGCTGCTATTCTACATAGAACAAGCTTTGACTGGAGTATCAGGCTTCGTGAAAGACACTAATAACAACGCATTGTCGAACGTCACCGTGTCTGTGGAGGGCATCACCAAAGACGTAGTAACGGCGAAGGACGGAGACTACTGGCGACTTCTGGTACCTGGCCAACACACACTCATTTTCCATGCACCAGGGTACCAGACGGAGCGAAAGCAGGTGACCGTTCCGTATCTCTGGGCCCAGCAACTGAACGTAACCCTACAACAAGACGACCTTGGCCAGTGGTCGGCACAGCATGATTTCTCTCTCACGGAAAACATATCACCTAACAGTTACAGGACAATGTCACAACTGAAGGAGACGCTTGTGCAACTAGAGAATCAATACCCGACAACCCATGAGGTTATCGTCAACACAAGTCCATGGAGCGTCCATATGCCGGCAATTAAAGTTGCGGCCGAGGGTTCACTATCCGACTCTGAGAGGGTGACGGTGGCTCTGCTCGGTGGACTGGACGGTCGACAGCCGGCCGGGGGCGAGCTGCTCCTCCGACTAGCCAGACACTTGGGTGCTGCAATGAGCAATCCACGCTCTGAATTGGTGCAGAAACTGCAGAATCTGATCATCTACATTGTACCGCGTGTGGATGAAGCTTCTTTCGAGATCGATCAAGAAGGCAACTGTTCTCAGAGTTCCTCTACCAGCGGTTCGCCTCCATCGGCGCTGGTAGAGATGATGGCACAGGTAAATGTTCAGGCCGTTCTTAGTATAGAAGGAGGGGGTATGTTCGTGCGTTATCCGCCGAACACTCCCGCAGACTTTGGCGCTACTGAAATGCAAAAAGAAAATTTCGTTTCGTTGGCTGGTGCATTCGTTTCTAGTCACTCTCGCATGTCAAAGATGTATTGTGGCGACCAGTTGGCTACTGGTATGATGCAAGGCCGTGATGTGATCGGTCGACGCTTCTCGGACGTACAAGAAGTGCTCTACAAACAGTTCGGTACTCTCATGGTATCTGCCCATGTAAGCTGCTGCGACTTCCCGCGGCACTATATGATGGCAGAGCTGTGGCGAGAGAACCTGGCATCATTGCTGTCCTTCCTGCGTGCTGCACAACAAGGCGTCTCTGGATACGTCCGTGACGCGGCCGGCAAGCCGTTGTCAGATGCTGCCGTCACCTATTCGGGCCGATACAGTGGTCAGCTGAAGGTGTCGTCTTCTGGACACTTCTCTGCACTGCTACCGGAGGGGGACTACTCTGTCAACGCGTCAATGCCCGGCTTCCAGTGGCATGTCGAGCAGATCCGTGTCGAACTGAACTCTAATCAGGACGCGAGTTTGGTTCTGGAAAACACTAATCATTCGTTAGAACTTAGCTATCATTCTGGCAAGGGCACCGCCAACTCACTGCGAAGAATCGCTGAACATTACACTGAAATTAGCAGATACTGCAGCATTGCCGGCCAAGACTCGGAAATCCCCTGCCTAGAAATCAGCAAAGGCATCCATGAAAAGGATGGTGCTTTGACTAAGCCAAGCGTGCTTTTCGTGGGTACTATCCAGCCACATGAGCTGGCATCCCGCGAGCTGTTGCTGCAGCTGGCCACGCATGTGGCAAGCCGGTATAGCACGGACAGCGGAGTGGCTAAACTACTAGAAGAGCATAAAGTCATCATAATACCTGCACTGGATAGCCGGCATGCAACAGTCAATGAGACGGTGTGTGACGCTCCGGAGGTGCAGCCTGATCTGGACCGCGGCTTTGACCCTGATGTGACTCCAACGGACATAGCACGGAGCTCGCTGCCACCAGCCGTACAGACAGTGATTGGCTGGCTAGCGAAACAGCGTCCAGTGCGCACTCTTGTGTTGCGTTCCGGAGCGGAAGGCGTCACATTCCCTCGGGTGCCCTTGATCAACGGCTACCCGTCACAGGACCATCTTCAGTATGGCGACGAAGAGATGTTCAGTGCCGCCGCTGCGGAATATGAGAAGCTAGAGGGTGGTGCGGCCGCTGCAAGTCGTAATTGCCCCATTGGCAAGGTACAAGAGCCAGTGTCGCACCAGAGTGGCGGCAACCTAATGGACTACCTGTACCGATGTAATGTCTCGCTACCGATCTCAGTGTATACTTCATGCTGTGGAGCGCCCAAAGTTGATCAACTTTCCGCACTGTGGAGCCGCCACAGACCGGCTCTGCTGTCCTTCATCCGACAGAAGGAGGGCATCCAAGGGTTTGTCACCGATGAGCAGAACGCTCCGGTAGAAGGCGCGCGCCTGCTGGTGAACGGTTCTGCCTTCACGATCAGCACTCGTCATGACGGACAGTTCTGGAGGCCGCTTACCCCTGGTAAGGTGACTGTGAGCGTTTCGGCACCAGGCTATCATTCCGTAGAGAAACTGGTGTCTGTGTTCGCTGTTCAGCCCACGCACCTACAGCTGACTCTGAAACGGGACAAGCTGGTGGCGGGCATGCCGCGGATGGTGGTCATCGTGCTCCTTGGCGCTCTGGGAATCGTGGCCGTCGTCGTGTGCATGTTGTGCGCCACGTTGTGCACCGGACGATCGGGGCGAAAGCGGCGCGGCGGCGGCAAGCGCAATCGGTACGGCTTCCATCAGCTGTCGCAGCCTGACAAGCGGACTCTACTATACGAGGACGAGTCTGATGACGATGATGTCATAAGAGACGATTACAGGGGCGTCAGGGTTCCTACCAGTTTGTCAGACGACCCACGAGCCGTCCGACCATTCCACGACCTGCCGTCGTCGGACAGCAGTTCGGAGGAAGAGATTCTGCTGGCGACGACTTCCAGTCGACAGCTGCGTCGCTAATTTGTTGATTGCACTCATGTATTCCCACCGGATTTAGCCGGTGAGACATGCTGTCCTGATGAATATTTTAATGTTGTTGAACAAAGTAACTTTATACCTAGGCCTTTGTGGCTGTGCGTGGTATTCATCTGCTAGAGCGCTGTTCAATCATGGCTATTCTGCCGATCGTTCTATTTACAAAATGTGTTCTTCGCATCTCGTCTTCAGCCTTTGCCTGTGATTCCCTGCTCCCGTTGCCAGTCACCGTCGACCGCGAAGTTGGCGAATGGGACGAGTGTCGTTGCACAATCCGCCTGGGGCACTGTGTGGTGCTTATCGTACCTCTCCAGCTGAGGTTGTATTGACCGCGGCTGACCGATGGTCCGTCTCACTATATCGTATTTGTAAATCATGCCTAAGTGTTGATTTGAAGTGCGTAGGTAGGGTGTACGATTCCGGTGTTCGTCATACATTCATGACGTTAGGTTAGATAAAGCCTTCTACTATTGATGGGAGCTAGCGATGGGTGACTGGGTATTTTATTAAAATCATGGAATTAATTTTAATGGAAAATTGTGATATGCATTGTCGATGGTGTATATGCAATACATGCTGGGTAGTTTTCTAGTCTGTATTTGGAAGTACAGCAACCTCGATCTCATGGAAAGAGAGCACCACCATTCACCAATTTTACACAATCAAGGAGATGACAGCATACGCAATGCAATGTGAGAGAGAGAGTTTATCACCACTTCCAAATAATAGGACTAAGTTCTTAAAGGAAACATTGTGCAATATCACAGACTTATGATGCTGAAAAGGGAAACTCTTGACGACTGAACTTTTTGCTCCTTTTGCTCAGGGACAATATTGGTGGAGCTTACCTACTCAGAAGCAGTCATATAACCGAAATAAGCGATCACACACCTAGCGCAGCATCGAGCACGGCACGGATTCCAAGATATCACAGCATGACTAACGGATCACGGACTAACAGTGGTCCACGATAAGATGACGGTTTGATGACGCAAATCGCAAACGCTTCACAGGTGACATGCAGCATAAGCACACCACTCAGATCACTGATCCCTGCTGTGAGTCATGAGTGCAAACTGCAACCGATACGGAGACGTGAGCAGTGAGCGGCCCTCTGCTCAGGTTAGTCCTCCGGCGCACTTCGTTTCTGAGCGGTAGGGGCCTCTTCGACGCCGGCACCCGTCACCAGGAAGTCGGCTGACGTGCCGCACGGCGCGCTGATGCTCTTCGCGAGTGTGGCGGTGCGGCGCGGCCCGGCGCGCGGCGGCTGCGCCAGCGGGCCGGGCGCGGTGCTCGTCTCTCGACTGAGCAGCAGCCGGTGGTGCGGCACGTGCAGCCAGGCGAGTCCCAGCGCCGGCCGCTCGCCGCCGCCCGGCTCCGACTGCACCAGGTCGTTGGTGACGAGCGCTGTGAGCCGACACTCGGCCGCCACGGACTTGAGCGTTGTGCCCACATCGGTGAGCAGGCCGAAACCTAGACACGGACAGACAGCGGGAGCGTGAATAGGCAGTTTGTCAGCGCTGCTTAGGAGTCACACTTTTTTACCGTGTCAAACACAAACATTGACCTCATACTGCTGCACAAACTCGAACCTCCCGACCCGAACTGAGGTCGCGCTGCCACCTACCAATGAAGCCCGGCGAGGCCAGCAGAGGTGCCGCCAGGGCGGCCAGAGAGTCGACCACGAGCAGCCGCAGCCCGGCGTGCAGCCGGCGCCGACTGCGCACCGCCTCGAGCAGAGCCAGCAGCTCCTGCATGGAGAACACCTGCGCGTACTGCAGTCTCTCCAGCAGCCGGTCGCACTCCTGCCGGAACACACCTCAGGTGAGCGTGTAACCTGCAGGGTGATTAAGCTAATCATTATATTGACACACCGCGAGTCAGTATCGGCGGAACGCCTTCAATTAGGGGGGGGGGGGGCACTGCCGACTTTTGGTCCCATTCTTTCCATGCAACGCCCATAGGGCTTATGTTAAAATGCCAAAATCAAAGGCGGGCACGGTGCCCCGGTGCCCTCCCCGTTCCGCCGCCTATGCCGCGAGTTTTTAGAAAATGTCCAAGTTGCCATTACCGTTTGTGTCGGCGATTGGGGAGACGCACAAATTAAATTCAATACGGTTTATAGTGTATATTGTATAATGTGCAATTTTTTCCTCGACTTGTAAGTACGGATGATAGCAATGTCCCAATACGACTCTGCTGACCCGCTCGTGGTCTGACGTGCACTGCCGACCTGACCTGACCCTGCCGACCTGACCACGCTCGGCGCCCTGCCGACCCGCAGGTGGTCTCACCTGCGCTGACCTGCCGCGGCGTCTCAGGAGACGTCGACACCGGGCCACGCTGAACTCGCACTTGGCGTCGGCGACGAGGACGCGTGCGCCGGCCAGCAGGGCGGCCGCCGCCCAGGCCAGGCACAGCTGGGTCTTGCCGACGGCGGACGGGCCGCACAGCTCGACCAGGTCTCCGGCCGGCAGACCGCCGCCCAGCAGACCGTCCACTCTGGGAACCACAGAGGTGAGTGGCCAGCGCAACGGGAACTCTGCTGATAGAGCCAGCGCAACGGAAACTCTGCTGATAGATTGTACAAATTCCATGGCAACAGCCTACATAGTTGAGGGAAAATAAACCTTACTATTGTTAATGTTGTTGAGTCATTAGTGGTCATATATTAAAAATGAAGCATAACAGATATCTGAAAGATTGATGTTAAAGTATTTCATTATAGTTCGTTTTTCCTAAGTTTGCCCCTCACTGTAAACGTCTTTTTGAACACAGCACGAGAATTGCTAGCTGAATTACTGAGAAAACTGGTTGGCGCACATTGACTTCACCAGATTTCACAGACGATCAATTTTATCAAATTTGTTTACTATTTCACAGACCCATAGCTCGTATTTACCCATACCTACAGCTCCACAGTGATAGACGACTTCTCAGGAATTATGTCTGAACTAGTTAATAAATTGCACGGCGTTTAACATTAGCGTTACATCGTCGGTGTTCAAAACTAATTTTGAAAATATTATTCATATCTCCAATACAATGTGCGCCAACCAGTTTTCTCAGTAATTCAGCTAGCAATTCTCGTGCTGTGTTCAAAAAGACGTTTACAGTGAGGGGCAAACTTAAGAAAAACGAACTATAGTAATATGTATAATCATAGACCTCTATAGACCTCATATGTAGATGAACGGAGGTCTATGGTATAATGTAAACTGTAAAGCACTATCAACATCAGGCTTACATCATAAGTACCACTAATAAGCACATGAATATTACTACACATAAGGAATAGACACGTGCATGGATCCGAGCGATGGATCCATGATCTCAGTGAACCTCGAAGCAAACTGCAAGTTAGGATCTGTGATCCCACTGGATCATGCGTCTAAAATATATCCTGATACTATGATTTCATATGACCTGCCGATAAACCAAGAAAATTGATATTTGATTCGAGGGGATCCAACCTTGTACAGGCAGTCTTGAAAGTACCATCGAATCGGTGCGGTGGTTTCATCAAGCCCGACCGGGGAAGGGCTGCTAAATTTGAGAGTCACCAACCAATTGACCTGGGGGATGAATCATGGATGTCCACTGGTTGGGTGAATCTCAAAGTTATCAGCCCTTCCTCGGTTGGGTTTGATGGATCCACTGCACCGAAGCGCGGTACTTCCAAGAATGACTGTACAACATTTGAAACCATGCTCCTAAGGGTTTCTATGTAAGAAAAGTGCCACAAAACTAAGACTTATGACGTGCAATCGAATAACATTACTAAAACAGACTTTTGCGAGTTGAGCAAGTGAATCTTGATAATGTCTGTACTGACAAAAAAAAGATAGAGGATCTATGATCTCACTGTCCTCAAGTCTCTGACTCTGACTCTGATCCATGATCCTAATGGATCCCTCAATAAATTAAAGACCTGGATATATGATCTCATCGGATCCGAGAGCAGGATCCGTGAAATCAGATTCCATATCCATTTTCTTGGATCCATGTACATTTATGACTACCTAGTTATAATGTGGCTTATACCTGTCACAACCTGAAGCCAGAGGTGCAACAGATGGTTGATCCAACAAGTCAGTTGCAGAGCATGGCAGAGCAGAATATTTTGCGAAAAGCACCTTCTTGACAGATACCACCTCCTGCAAAGGGAAAAGTGGCTGGATTAGGTATTATGTATTCCCTCCAGGAGCAGTTGGGCTAATACTTTTTAGTTACCTTCTGATTTGGCTATGGACCTCAAAATATCATCTTGACCTGGACCTTAAACCTACTGCCTGATATAAATAAAGTATAAACCATAAAAACCCAAGATCTTCTGCTCTTACATGATTTACCATGCCTGCTGTTGATAGCTCCCAAGTTAGTTCTTTTAGATTGAATATAGAAGATGGACAGAGTATGTTATCTTTGAAATATAATTGGAATATAATTTGAAATATAAATTTCAGTCAGTTAAAGGAAAATCATAAGTAATTTGTGTTTATTAAATCTTACCACTTAAAATAATTATTACATTTAATTATTATTATACACCATGCAGTAAATCAAGAGATTGATAATATTAAAGGGAATATACCACATTCCTCAAATAAGTTTTTGACTACAGTTTGGAGTTTTATGCTTTAAATGACCAGAAAAGAAATAGAATATTTACAAAGAAGATTTTTGTAACATATTTTTATATAGGAAGAAGTATTTTGCATCTTTAGTAGAGGCTAAATAGTGTTTGCAGTATAATCTGATTACATCCCGACCAATGTAATCGTATCACATAGTCCAAACCAGCTGCATGCTGATTGGCTGACTAATTGGCCTCTGCTACAGGTGGCAACATTCTTGGCATTCTTCCATAAGGGAATGCATTCCTCTGTAAGGGAATGATTTCAGAACCAACATAGATAGGTGTATCTTTGGCTAGGGTGATTGTTTGGCTGTAAAAGCTCCTGATTAAATCTAGTCTCAGTACAACCTACAAAACTGCTACTTCAGGTCAAAAGCCCATGTCAAAAGTGGTATATTTCCTTTAACAAATCACAGGTACTATATAAATGCAAAAAATAATAACATTCAATTCAATATTTGGCCAGCTGGGGAGCAGTCAGGTCAAGGAAAGGTTTGTAAGCTTTATAAGATCCAGCCACCTAACTAGCCAGACTTCAAAGCATGGCAATCTGGAAGGGATCTTGTCAGTGCAGAGGGCCCAGTGTCCCAAAATATTTCGATTTGGGTGGGAAACGACATCCAAATAAATATCATTTTGCACTCTCATCTCTAATATCTAAGAGCAATTTTCCACTCCCAGCCTTACTGAGAATAAGCATTTGCATTGGTCATTTCACATATTACATTTTACTTCATTATATAGAAATGTTTGTCATTGATCTCTTTTCCACTCTTTTTGGGCCTTATCTGACTGGGGACTTTTCCACTCTTATCCCCCTTTTTGGAAAGGAATTTTCCCTTTTGACACCCAAGCCAAAACACAATTTTGGGACACTGGCAGAGGCACCCAGTAGGTGCATGGCACAGTTCACCATGCACCTGCACAGTGAGACGTGGTGCGGATGTGACATTGGGTGGTATATCCCTCACATGTGACCACCCATAATGCCTTGCTAAGGCATTGACATTGTCCTACAAAATGGTGCACAGTGATAAATGAGGTCAGCCAGAATCATTAAATTTTATTCATTTTCTCATATTGAATGTGGAAAACCCAACCAATACCTAAGCTTTGTGCCGAACTTCTAGGTCTTGTTTAATGCAGACAGCTGACAGGTAGGTACAAATTTCCAGTTTGGTTGGTGTGGGCTGACTCAGATTTGCCACTGTTGCTGGTGTGGCTTGTCTACTGTGTTGCCATGCTTTGAAGACTGAAGTCGGGTGTTTTCATGCTTTGAAGTCAGGATAATTTATACCTGTAATAAATATTGTTTAATATTTTCACTGTCAACTAACCTGATAAGTGAGACTACAAGCATGTATGAGCGCTTCCGAGTCCCTTGACAGGAATGCAAGAACAGTTTTGATGCCATTGTTCTTCAGTTCTGCCAGCACGTCTTCACTAAGCAATGGACATTCCTTATTTTTTAGATACTGATGCATACTCTTCAAAAGGCTATATTCATATTATATGAGGCATGCTCGGTGATAGGTCACAATGTGTCCTGTGAAAATATTGTCACGTCACCCAAAAATATTGTTGACGCTAGTCATAAATCATAATCATGATCAAGTTCTACATTAATTGCAAGCAATTTCAATTTCAAATCCAACCCAGACTGAATATCATTCGCAGTTAAGTCTTGTAAATTTGTATACGGCCCTTAATGTTGAGTCCTGTATAAATGTTATAAATATAAATATTCCAAGGTACACAAATCTGTAAGAATCTTACACAAAAGCACTAAATAATCGAAAAATATTTTCGATATTCATAAGACGCGGTAAATTCATGATTCATATGAATGTAACTCGTGCGCCACAATGACAGCATACTCGTTCGTAAAATACGGACACCATTGGTGGCGGTGTTCGTAAAATGCTGCCAACATTGCCGAGGATGATTCTTACAGATAACAGATAACAGATTACAGTCAGAGGACAAATAAAAGAGGGCATATGTTATAACGTGCATAGGCGGATCGGTATAGTAGATCCTATGTAGATCCGGCCTTGGGCGGATCTACATAGGAAGGTGGTCTCGGACGCTGCGGAAGAGGGGCATGCCCAAAAAAGTTTCTCCTAAAGTCCAACTTCCAGAAAAAGCTCCTCGGACTTCGATTGTCTACGCACTGCTGTGGAGTTCAAAGTAAACTTTTCGTAATAATACAATTTGTTAAAGGGACACTCCCACCTTAAAGGGACCCTCCCACCTTCAAAAAAGTTAATGAATTGGCATGAAAGTGATGCCGCTCGGTTCAAAAAGAGCGAAAACGAATATCTACCAAATTTCATCAAAAAATATTCACCGGTTTTCAAGATATTAGACTTTTACTTTTGTTTACTTTTTGGGATCTCCGCTGTTCCTAGCGACTTTATTTGAAAGTGCGGCATTTGTTGCGCGCAAAGCAGCATATACCACCGCGTGCTACCAAACGTTTTAGTAAAATATTTAAAAATCGTTAGATCTCCGCTGACGTCACAAATTCTAAGGGGGCATACCAATGCATTAGCCCCTTAGAATCCGAAAACTGCAAGTTTGAAATTCCATATCTCCGAATTAAAGCATTGTTCGATGTTGTGAGTGCCCAAACCGGTATTTTCAGGCCATGGCCACCAATTTGGCTATCTCAACTCAAAACTAATGTTAAGGTGGGATGGTCACTTTAACATTAGTTTTGAGTTGAGATAGCCAAGTTGGTGGCCATGGCCTGCAAATACCGGTTTGGACACTCACAACATCGACAAATGCTTTAATTCGAAGATATGGAATTTCAAACTTGCAGTTTTCGGATTCTAAGGGGCTAGTGCATTGGTATGCCCCCTTAGAATTTGTGACGTCAGCGGAGATCTAACGATTTTTAAATCTTTTACTAAAACGTTTGGTAGCACGCGGTGGTATATGCTGCTTTGCGCGCAACAAATGCCGCACTTTCAAATAAAGTCGCTAGGAACAGCGGAGATCCCAAAAAGTAAACAAAAGTAAAAGTCTAATATCTTGAAAACCGGTGAATATTTTTCGATGAAATTTGGTAGATATTCGTTTTCGCACTTTCTGAACCGAGCGACATCACTTTCGTGCCAATTCATTAACTTTTTTGAAGGTGGGAGGGTCCCTTTAAGTTTTCTTTCTGTTCCAGAAGAAACGACACATTTTCATTGATTTCGGGGGCTGCCAGAGGGGCATTTTCCCATGCTAGTTATAACATGGGTGTTATGAAGACATCATAGCTTGCACTCCATGTAGACGGGCACAAATGGTTTAACGGCGCCCTCCTGACCGTCTCGCGCCCGTATGTCTCTGTCCATCGTGCATCCCTCGACTGTTCGGCGCCCCTTGACCACATAGGGTTTTCAATGACTCCAGTGGCGGATCCAGCTCAGAGTTTTTTTTTTGGGGGGGGGGGGCAAACCATAACAATTTATCGATTCTTTCCTTGCTTCGTCCATAGGCGTAATGTTAAAATTATGCCGTTTGGGAGGGGCAAATGCCCATTTTGCCCCCCCCCCCCTGGATCCGCCAATGAATGACTCGGCGCCCTTCTAGGAGAATGGCGCCCTTTTCATGGCCTCACGGCGCCCTCGTAACCGTCTGGCGTCCCTAGGTCCCCCTCCCCACCAACTTAGCATTACTGACTGTGTGGCGCCCTTCTGCCCTCTCTGCGCCCGTGGATCATATAACATTTTTAATCACCTGTCACCCTTCTGGGAGAATGGCGCCCGATTGGCAGCACTGTGCCCTTCTTATAGCCTATAGGTGTCGATTTCCGCCGGGTTGGGACTTGGGGGTGCCCAAGCTCCATCCCCGCCGTCTCGGCCGGCTTGGCTTTGGAGCCCCGATAGACGGCGTGGGTCAAGATCACCTCTAGGGCGGCGGCGGATTTGCTCCGCCCGGGCACTCCCAACTCGGTGAAAATCGAAACCCATGGCCCTTCTCATGGTCTAACGGCTCCCTCCTGACCATCTCGCGGCCTTATGTCTCTGCCCACTCTTGTTCCGGTTAAACCGGGAAAAAGACTTAAAAGTATGGTCTTGTTTGAATAGGGATAATGAGAAGGGCTACGGGTCTCAGGGACGGGTCGGTGTTCTCACTTTTTCGCAATGTAATGCCGCCGAACATTAATCTGTTCAAGCAGTCTAACGAAAATGACGAGAATACGAGGCCACGTATGCCTGACCGGACACAATACTCTGTCGTTCGTTTCAGAAAGGGAAGGCATCAAGTATATCGCGACGGCGAATTATATAACGGGTGTGCACTTAGTTTCTGGAAAAAGATTGATCATCCGTATCTTTAAAACTATTAAAGCTATCAAAACAAACTTTCGTATAGTGAATAATCATTCATTTTGGTATGAGCATGCCAAAATTCAGACCAAACCGACTATTTTTTCATACAGAAAGGAGCTTACAACTAAGTCATGAACGCGGAAAAGAGTGGCGGAATTTTCACAAAAATAACAAAAATTCCAGAGAAACAACTTCTCTTCCCATTGGCGCTTTCTAGGTATTGCTAGAAAGAAGGCTTGTGCCATTAGAGGAACGGCACAAGCACGGGGAAGTGCGTGGCACATGCACAGTGTGCAGGTGTGTTGATTCGTGGTGAAAGTGCCCCAGCAGAAGAGGCTCGTTCTGGTAAAAGGTATTCACCATCTTGTGAGCGTTCCCGATACGTTTCCCGTCCTCCCGTTTTCCATTTTTCGAAGAAAAAATTCAAATTGTGATATTGTATACCAAAAAGGGTAGAGATACCATGATCCAGCATTCGGCAGCCGATAAAAGCAGCAGAGGAGCAATGAGACATGGATCTGTAAGCTATCATGATAAATGCTCAGTGCACAGACGAATCAAGCAATCACCTATGGATGCTGGAATTAGATCGCCTAAAAGGGAAATTTTATGTAATGAAGATGGGGTAAAACACCACTTCGACAGGCAGGCGCTCACAAAATGTGGAACCTCAGCCTGTTGACCACTTTTGACGCAATCTCCTGGTCAGTGGACCGCCAAATCCCCACGTGCGGTATCCAATCTTATGTTAGCCCTATGTAGCCAGTGCCGACATCGATATCTTTTGACAGCAGTGCTTAAATAAAGAAATTTTGTCACATTGGGAACATCACTACCCCAGGAAAGTATAGGTGTCATGATCACACCACAATGCAGTCACTGTGCGCGCGGAGCGCTGGATCTACGGGTCGCCGCACATGTACCGTTTGTGAGTCGCGAAGAGAATCTTCTTGGCATATCTCAACGGCGACCGAATGTGGACTTTTGAAGACAAAATAGTACTAAGGAAGATGTTAAGTGCATATCAGCGTCTATTTGAAGTCCATAACGCGCTAGCCATCGCCACACCTGGACCTGGAGGTGCCGCGCAATTTCAACAGGAGGCGTCTGTATAGCACGTGGGCTCTAGACCGCCTGGGAGGAGAGAGCGCCTAATTCTTTTGACAGCTTTTAACTATTGTTGCAATTTATATATGTGCCAAATATCATCTTAGTCTAAGTTCAAACACTTAAGTTATGGCAGCACAAACTTTTTCCAGAAACTAAGTGCACACCCGTTATTACATGTTCATTGGGCTGCAATCATGACATTGGAATACTTTTGAAAGGGAATTTGCTTCCGGCTTCCCCTTTCCTTTTCCTCATTCCTTCTTTTGTTAAATGAACGGACATAATTTTAACAAGCACTTCATGGAAGGACACTTTTTAGTTTGAAACACTTGATAAACATAGGATTAGTTTTGTTGTCCATATAGTTAAGCGCCCGTCTTAATGGTCACTGCGCAACCTCTTCACCGCCTAGGGCTGTGAGTATAATCTCCCGGCGCTCTTTTCCCGCCCATCGCCTTTTATCCCATTCAGGACATCATGGCTGTCTTATGTCATCCTGACCTTCCGGCTTCCGTCGCCTTTTGACCACATAAGACATTTAAGACGCATAGCTCGCGTAATCATTTGTTAGCCGTTGACTGGATGGTGGTGCCCTCCTACGTCTTTTTTACGCCCTTTCGGTCACTTTACACTTTTAACCGTGTATTTGCTTAGTCAGACATGTCACTTGAAGCGCCCGTCGGCTAGCAATGTTATCAAATTCGGTGTTAACCCTCGCATTTGTGCGGCGTTTGCCAGCTTCTAATGTGTAGGGGGGGGGGGGTCGGGTCGGTTGGACCCCCCTCCCTTGCCGTTTGGCCCCTGATCGAGCTAGAGCTTCGCGGAAAAAACGAGCGTGCTGCCCGTGACGAGAGGAAGCCGATGATACCCAATTTTAAGGTCCTAGGTCATTGGTTGACCTTCCAGGTCAGGTCAATGACCCAAAGTCGGGAAAATCGGAACCTGTTAGAAAGTCGTAAAGTGTGGCTGCTATGGGGTTTTTCGGGGTGCTGATCACGAATATCGTGTTAGTTTTGATCATAGATGATGTCTTCATGAATTTAGACCAGTTCGGGGCAGGTCAGGTGAGGTCAACCAGGAGGCGTCGTGACGGGTATTCGTAGTAGGTACGTGTCAACCGCCTCTCACAGCTTCGTAACATGTTACGAAGGCACAAAAACTACTTCGTAAATGTTCAAATGGTTGCAAAATTCGAATTCAGCTCCAAAAACTAGCCTAGAAACATGTACAGCTCGAAAAAGTGAACCGAGGTCACCAAAGGTCAATGACCTGACCTGACTTTCAGGTGACCTTGACATCCACCCAAATGCATGGGAGCAGCATCAAATCTCATGTTTGAGCGTTTGAAACCACGAGAAGCTTGCAAACGCGCGGCTAATGCGAGCCGACATACGCCGAATCGCGATTCCGGCCAAACATGGCCTCGAGGAATAGGTCACAGGTCAAAGGTCACTTGGGTCAGGGCCATGAAATTTTCAGAGTAGGTGTCAAATTGATCAACGCGAGGGTACTGAAGGTTTCGTCGTGATCGGCCGCTTTTTGCGCGAGTTATTCGCGAAAAAACCATGGGGGGAGGGGTCCATCCGATCCCCCCTACACATGCGAGGGTTAATATAGGCTCTCACATAACGAATATCCATTGCGCCCCAAAGCGGCCTGGCGCCCCTACAGCTAGGCAACCACAATCATTTTAGGAAAATGACACCCCTGTCAGGGGTGTACCTAATTTTATATCTCCTTGTGGGGGCAGATGCACCCACAAGTCTTTTACAAGCGTCCTATCGAAAGCACGGCGCCTTTCGCATGCTTTAACGGCGTCCTCCTGACCGTCTCACGTTCCTGGATAATATAACGTTTTTAATAACTCGGCGCCCTTCTGGGAGAATGGTGCCCTTTTGACAGCACCGCGCCATTCGCATGGTCTAACCTCGCCCTTCTGACCGTCTCGCGCCATTAGGTCTCTGTCCACCGTGCATCCCTCGACTGTTCGGCGCCCTTCTGGCCTCTCAGCGCCCCAGTGGACCACATAGCATTTTCAATCACTCGGCGCTCTTCTAGGAGAATGGCTCCCTTTTCATGGTCTCACGGCGCCCTTGTAACCGTCCGGCGCCTCTACGTCCCCACCAGCTTAGCGCTTCTGACTGTTCGGCGCCCTTCTGGCCTCTCAGCGCCCCTGGACCATATAACATTTTCAATCACTCGGCGCCCTTCTAGGAGAATGGCTTTTCATGGTCTCACGGCGCCCTCGTAACCGTCTGGCGACTGGCATCCCTACATTTGGCCCCCCTCTACATTTTTTACGCCCTTCCGGTCACTTTACACTTAAAACCGTGTATTTGCTTAGTCAGACATTGCACTTGAAGCGCCCTTCGGCTAGCACTGTTATCAAATTCGGTGTTAATTCAGGCTCTCACATAAAGAATATCAATTGCGCCCCAAAGCGGTCTGGCGCCCCTACAGCTGGGCACCCTAAATCATTTTAGAAAAATTACACCCTTGCTTGTAATTGACGCACCCCCCCCCCCCAACAATCAAACAGCCTCGCGAGTGGCGAGCCCTGTAGTGGGCACGTCACCCAGAAGGGGATGAGCTGGGCACCGATCCACAGCCGGCGGTGTCTCTGCAGTCTGCACTGCCACTGGTCAGTGGTCTCACTGGTCTCTGAGTTCCGACCGTCACCGCGCCGGTCCAGGTATATCATGCAAAACTGCATAGGGAACGGTCGATCTCGCCCGGCAGGTGCTGTCCTCCCGATGAAACCGGCTGGCGGCGACCGTCCCGCTCCGCCCGCCCGTCTCTCGCCGTCGTGTGCCCCTGCGCAGTGCGACCGCTCACCTGAGACCCGGGAATCCCCGGCGCGCTCCTCGCGCGGCCGCCTGCGCTCCCCCTCCCCCTCCCCACCTCCTGCGGCGGTCGGCCGGCGCGGCGGCCCGTCCTGTGTCCTCCGCGTTCCCCGGCGCCTCTGCGGTCTCACGTCAGGCGAGAGAGCGCCTGCCCGCCGCCGCCAGACGGCGCCCGGCCGCCAGGCGGAGAGGTGCATTCCGTGGCCGCTGTGGTGTGGAGTGAAGTGATGCGTGACTTCGCACAAGCGTGCCGCGCAGATGCATGGTGGCGGTGCTAACGCAGTTGCAGCCGGGTAGTGTTGTGCCAACTATACAGAGGTCCTGTCGAAGCTGGTGGTTGTGTTCGACGGTACGGGTCTGTCAATAGGTAGGTACTCGGGCTTGTTTTACATAAACGTATTTCGACTGTCGTTGTGTTCCGTATGAACTAAAGCATTTCAATTTGAGCTCATGTCATGCGCGTGTTGTGTTACCTACCTACCGGAGCCCGGAGGAGGCCACGATTGAATGGGTGATTTCGGGGGCCAGCAATATCCTACTCCTACTCGTAGAAAAAATGAATGGAAATGAGCAAGACATTTATTTATTAGCAAATAGCATACGACAATAACTTCGTTCCGAATAGTTTCGGCATGGATGAATTGGAGAACCTTTTTCATCCATTCCATGGATGAAGGTTCTTTCCTTGGTTCTTTCATCCTGATCCTGATCCATGGTTTTGGTGTCGGTGTCTGCATTCGTGTGTTGGTTAGGGCCTAATTTAGAAGATGACATTTTATTGTCATCTTTGCCCCTGCAAACTAAAAAAGCGCTGTGGCATCATTCAAGAGTCATTACGGAAATATTTTCTATTTGATGCTTTGGAGACTAGGCTGTTGACCTCATGAGGCTCATGCTCAGATATCTAAACCTAACGGAAAATGGTCGTGAAATCGCTCCCCCCCCCCTGTCCTTTTCCGTAGATATCTCCTAAACGGCTGCAGATATCGCCTACAAACTTTCAGGACCCCTCCGGGCATCAATTTTACACATTATGACAAAAAATAATTCCAAAGGCTATTACAGGCTGGCCACAAATGACGTCAGAATGACGTCATGTTCTGCCATTTTCGACAAAAAAAGGTTTCGCGAGAAGAGCTGTCAGGCCTACAACTTTTAAGCTACAGAAAAATGTTCGAGACCTAAAAGGTGTAGAATTGATAGGGCTATACAATGGCTATATCGGATTTTTGCTTTTTTATTTTGACCCCAAAAATAAAAAAGTATTTTTTATACAATAGCCAACGAATCCCCAAAGTTTTTCGAATTTCGAAAAAAAACGGAATATGATAGTAGGTACCCATTGTCTTCTATCCGCATACCAAATTTCAGATCGATAGGTATCTCTTTTTTGGCCAAGTTATGGCGATAGGCACGTAGCCAGGATTTTGCTCAGGGATGGGCCACGGGTCGCGGCCTAGTGTCGTATCCCCTCCAAAAAGTAAAACTCCTCGGATTTGGCCGACTTTTTTTGGGAGTGTGGTGCAGCTGTTGTTGTTTATATTTATTTTGTATTAAATGCTATTTTATTTTTAGTCTTCAGGGGGGCATGGCCCCCGCGTGCTCCCCCTGGCTACGCCCCTGCGTAAAACAACTTCAAAAATGACGTCAAATTATCAAACTTTTTTTTTAAATTCTAGACCATGTAGCGCAAAACAAAGACCACCACTAGACTCCCCGTGACGAGCTGTATCAGTCTCTCGATCGATCCCCATTGTATGCAAAAATATCAACTTTGAAATTTGGACTAATTTGACCTGAACTTGACCTGACCTTCACCAGAACATACCCTCAACTGGTCCCAAAGGTTGCCCGACCCACATAAGCGCATTTGTAATGTACGATGGACCATAAAACATGTATCATACGACACTTGCATAGTGTGACTCAGTGACCTGACCTCTGTGACCTGACTTGGTATCAGTGACCTTAGATAGCAAAATATGTGTTTGATGGAGAATTCTTCATCGTTGATTTTCAATAACATACCTGATATCAATTTACTCGATTTCACAACACACTTCTTGAATTGCGTGAGATGATGTTTTTCGTATGAACGGTGAAAATGCGACCTTTGACCTGACCTATGACGTCATCGTCTGTACTGAGGTCAATGAAATTGGGGCACAAGGTAGTTCCCCGTTGGGGCTATCCAACGCCGCTTGAATTTTGAAAATCGGACGTTAAATTTCCGAGATCTTGGGGGATGGGTGCCGAAACGCCCCCTCCCCCTCTACGGGTGGTAGGTAGGGTCCGCCGATAGCCCTACGGGGTGCGGGCTAAAGAATGCACTGCTGTTCTGATAGCGCACTTAAATGATTCATTTGAAATAGTTTCGTGACCCCTCTGTTTCCAGGCGCCGGCCCCGGGAGCACAGCGACCCTGGCGCGCCCTCGGCTGGACATTGAGGCGTCTGTCGATCGGCCGGACTGACGCGTCACCTGCCATATCGGGGCAGGACCGCCGGCCGGTCGGAATTCCCGGCTCGGGGTCCTGTGGGTCGCAGCTGGAGTCGGCCAGGGATGCACACGGTCGCTGCTCAGCACCATGGCGCCCGCGGAGATGGCTGTCGTGCCGCTGCTGGCCGCTGTCCTACTGAGTCCAGTCCTCAGCCCTCCGGCGGCGGCGATGCCGTTGGGCGCGGCCGGGGAACCGGGCAGCGGCGAGCCGACCCCGCCGCCGACGGAGGGCTCGGGGCCGCCAGAGACTGCCGCCATCGACGCGGAGGATCGCGATGAACCGCTGCTGTGGGTGGAGCTGCCGTCCGCGTGGAGCGGGCCGTGGAAGGAGGAGGGTGCCGAGGCCGGCTCCGGTCTCGGCGAGACCACGCAGCGGCCGGAGCTCGTGGAGCACCTGGGCTCGGAGGAGGGCGAGCAGGAGCTGCAGTTCCATGTGGTGGCCAAGCAGACACGGAAGACACGGCGGCGCAACCAGACGGTGATTGAGGAACAGCCGGAAGGTGAGTGCACCACTGCTGTCCACCACGCCGCATTGTTTGCAGTTTATACGTATTTCGTCTTTTTCACCCGAATAGATGTGTACACTCAGAGTAGTATGGTACTTTAGTATGGTGTGCTCACGAGGTAGCTACCTCGTTAGCGTACGAGGGATAATTTGTTCATGTGTCATAATTACCTTACGCACTTGCACGCACAGGGCAGTAAGTTTATCCCGTTCCTGGATCAATTCGTTCAATTACTGTTGCGTGCTAAAATTGTTACTTCTTAACCCCTTTCATAAAAGATATCCAGACAACTAAGCATTGTAAGTAAAGCAGAACATTATGCAAATGCCGCGCTCGGTGATATGCGTAGCTGAGATACTGCACCGTCACTGTTCCTCGTCCAGAGACCGTTCTGGAACGCATGCTAATACAGGGTGTCCCAGAATTACCCGGACATTGTTAATTAGCGTATAAAATAAGGCAAACATGATTGCGCTTTTTTCTTTTTATTGTCATATATAGTCAACTAGGGTGGCTGTGAAATAGCACATGCAATAGATATGCTTGTTACAAGATCAGCCGACAATGATTGAAAATGCCAGCCATTGCTGGTCTCAGTTGTTTTACGGCTCTCCCGAAACTGGGTGAAGGCCTGTTTTCTTTGACCTGTTGCCGGAGGATAATACGATCATATAAGATAAACTTAACATCAAAGTGTTCCCAGGTCATAAGGCATTATCCCCCAAAACAAAAATTGCTGCCTACACCACTTTTGCCGCGTTTTTTACATCTGAAGTGGAGAAGCTCCATGTCTGAACATGGCGGGATCTTTGGCTTCCAACAGATTTGGTTTCCAAAACAAACCCGTTCATGGCCATTTGGTTTACGGTATCCAGTTTTTTTACTGGTAGAATATTACCGCAGTAGTACTTTGTGCTAACGGCTGTCTGGGCCATCATATCAAGCCCAATGAGTGCACGGTGGCTCAAAATGTCTCACAATTTGATTTTCGACGGGTGCCTGGCCGTCTCTGCTGTTGGGGCGTTGTAGCCATCTGACGTTCACACACGCCTTTTTCGGGCGGTTCAAATGACAGAATACCTTCGTTAGACCACAAAGTGTGCTTCAATATAATTTTTTTGTTGTATATGTTATATTTTGGGGATGAATTGTAGTGATTTTCGCTGCTTTTCCCGTAGTTTTCGCATATTTTTCAGGCGAGGGACCCCAAATTCCAAAATTTGGCGAAGATAGTGGTGTAAAGTAGACTGATGTTCTTTAGATAATCCTGATCTATCGTTTAGCTAGTTTTTAGCTAGATCAGTGACGTTTGTTGTCCATGACAAGCAACCACCCGTATGACAACTGGTGCATGGCCCTTTTTGGCCGAGCCCAAGCTTGTCAATCAGGTTTATCTCTTGCTCTCTCTGGCTTCGTTGGCTGAGATAATTGCGCTTTGCTCAATCCTAACTGCTTGCAGATGAGCTGCTGAAGCTCTCCAGCAAAAACCATGCCGAAAGTCCGTTTACAAAGTTGAAAACGGGAGTTGATTCACCATGGTTCCCTATTAGTGGCTTAAGCTGAAAACGGAAAAGGACTACTCTTACTTGACTCTGGATAATACTTGACTCGAGTCGTTACCGGTCACCAAAAGCACACAGTCCCCAAGCTCGATAGCTAAGGTATATCTTATAAAAGTATGATGCTTGTATATCATTAGAATCGAGCGCAATCGTACTTTTAGCCAGAAAATAAATGTCCGGGTAATTCTGGGACACCCTGTAGGGTTCTGTGCCGGGGACCGGTTAGCCGGCGCCCGCGATCTGCGATATCGGCTCGAGCGCTGGATCCGGCCGCGCGCGACACCGCCAGGTAGCCAGTGATTCCCCGCTGTTTTCGACTCCGCGCGGACGGAGGTAGGGGAGGGCTCTGCCCCGGCGACGCCAGTAAATCTCCATCCGGGGATTTCTTAGGACGGACGGAGTGCCCACTAACGTGAGGTTTGCCCGCAGATAACACATGAGCCGGAGCGGAGTTATTATTCTCCCTCAGACCTTAGTATCGCCTACCAAGCCAAGTCAATTGGCCCTTCGGTATGCCGTGTGCACGACTCCCAAATAATGGGCCATTTTATCGTTTTTGGTTTTGTTGTTAGTTACAAAGAGGCGTCAAGAAGTGTGTGCGTGTTGCGATCACTGGTGTCGTTACAATGGCTCATACAGATGCGCGTCTGGCCGCGCTCGGTGCCAGTCGTGCCTCGCTGCAGGAACAGTCGTGGTATGTGTACTTACGCTCCGGAACGGTCGGACCATTTGGACGCGCGCTGGCCTGCGGCCAATGGGCGCAGCCTCGCTTGGCTGACCCTGATGTTGAAGAGTGGGTCGTAATTATGTGCAGTGGAGCTGAGTAGCTTTTGCCGCTGAATAGTGCAAGGGCGATGTGGCTGGGTGATGCATCGAATCAAGAAGTGATGTTTGTTAATTAGTATATGAAACGAAGGTAGCATTTTTTTCACTAAGATATAGGGGAGAGTGGGGTGGGTTGTATCAGTTTTTACTCCGAGACCCATAACCTCGTAACTATCCGTGGTAAACTCATTATTTCCATACTATCTCCTTCCTTGATTCTTCGGCTTTTTTGTGCAAAGTAACTTTTCCGCTACCTCTACCAGTTTTTCTTCTACGGTCTGCCGAATAGAACAATGTTTTTGATACAACTTGCCCCATGGCTTGGGTGAGTTGTATCACATGGTGGGGTAATTTGTATCACTATTTCACGTTTCAGGGATTGTGCTTGCTACTGGTTTTGAACATAACAACAACATTAAATAGGGTTAATACAATGTAGGGGAGAGCGGGGCCAGTTGAAACACGGGGGGTCAGATGAAACATGGCTTTATTTTCAACAGTATGCAACATATGGCGTTGCCGACACCACTGCGCATCCGCGCTCGACCACTTCCTTTGTCAACGGCGTTTGGGCGGCAAGCGGACGGCAATTTTGATTTGACACTTGTTTTTGTGTTTTTAAGGGGCGTTTGGGAGAAATCGTTTTTATGAATATTTTGTGATATCTCATAAACCTTTGTTTGCTGAAAGAAGAACTCCTGGCTCCGGAATAACACCTTATTTGGCCCTTCATTCAGCATGATGCCGTCCCTCCAGCTCGTTTGACATGTGCTTTACGGCGCGTGCGAGATGGCGGGAGCGGATGGGGTCAATTGAAACGCTTCTCTGAGGGTCAGTTGAAACAGGGCCACAGGCCGTTTCAATGGACCCCGGTGGCCTTTGCAATGGTTATTGTTCAGGGGCTGTAACATTAAAGGAAATAGTCCACCTTTGAAATGAGCTTTTAAACTGAAATAGTAGTTTAATAGAGCTCAATTTTTGACCCCTTTTTCTCCAGCCTTTTGCTTGAAAGCACACTATAGCCTGAGATATTTCTCATTTTTCTCATCCGCCCATTTTACCATAGTCTATGTACTTTATGTCACCTATTATGAGAAACTTTGCACTTTTAGCTTTCCAATGACCTATTGAATGCAGCATTTGGAAAAGTAAACCGGACAAAATATCTCCTTTAAAAAGTGGCCTTAAAGAGGAAAACATCCCATTGTTAAGGATAGGTGCAATTGACCCCATGGGCTGGTTCAATTGACCCTCGCATCGGGGTCATTTGAAACGGGCGTAGAGCTGTTTTATAAGCATGCGTTTGGCAGCAAAATATGTTTGAAACATAATTTTACATATCTTAAAATAAAGCCAAAAGAGCATATTTTTTCATGGCATTGTGCATTTTTCGATATGACTACTAGATCTCGCTGTGCATGTCAATATATAAAAAGTGGTTCAACTGGCCCCGCTCTCCCCTATATGCTCAAAGGCTTCACTTTTATTAGACCAAACTTAGGTCAATCCGATCGAAACGTCGAAGCGAACGAAAAATAAACAGACTAGACGCAAAAGTGGCCCGTTAAGAGCAAAGAAGCCAACACATTGTGCCGAAATGGAACAAATATTGACTAGCTACCTACAAACGCGAGCCAGGGCTTAGCTTTCGCGATCAAAAGCAACATACCCATACATACCTACATACATACATGTTACAACATACCCCACCCGGCTCTGATACAACATGTACCTCGCCGCCACCTTGGAAAAAACATCCTCGTGCTCAAAAACAGTGGACAGCTGGAGAAATCCATTTTCACTCACGCAGCCTTAGAACCTACCCTCACCACCGCTACGGATATCTTTCAAATTCGTGCACATCTAAATGCCCAAAACACACATTTTCTTGCAACTTTTTTTTTAGAATGACATTAAAAAAACATAAAATCGGCTCTCACCTCGAGACGCGTCCACCCAGCCACACGACAGAACAGGGAAAGATGGCGCCCGGAAAACCTCGTCGGCTGGTCGTGTCACGAGCCCCATCTATTGGATAAGTTTGGCACAATTCGCCCTGATACAACTTGGACATGATACAACTCTCCCCGTTCTCCCCTACCTGGGCTTAAATACCGCAATTTATCAGTGGATTTAGGACTACTTCGAATATCATTGGGTTCGTTACAGGCACTTGGCTTTCTGAGAGTGCTACACCGTCTGAAAAAGACACTATCCTTGGTCTACGAGTGTCGGTGCTTCTACGGACCCGGAAACCTCGACCGCAACAGACGCGGACCTCATCTGAAACAGACGTGCCTGAACATCAGACGCCGAAAACAAAACCAGCCACCGGGAGGTCGTCTGCAGTACCGGGTCCATCTACAGGTGGGACCACGGCCTCCCCCTCTGACGGCCGCGCCAGGGGCACCGCTCTGACCGCGGCCCCCAGCACGGCGACTGAGTACCGGGCGGGCCCCGGGCCGACCACGGAACCAGCTACCGCTGCTGACACGGCGCTGGAGACCAGCCTGGCGGGCACGGAGACCGTCACCTCATCACAGGCGCCGCCCGCTGCTCTGACGCCCCGGCCCACCCCTCCGCCAACGGCCGGCGGCGCGGCCGGGCTGCCCGGTGGGTACACAAGGGTGTCGGATTATACTGGCAGGGTGGGCATAACCTATCATCACTCGTCTTAGCGGTCATGAATTGGAAATAGATCTGCAGAAAATAGGCGGCGGAATGGGGAGGGCACCGGGGCAGATTTTGGCATTTTAACATTAGCCCTATGTGCGTAGCATGGAAAGAATAGGACCAAAAGTCGGCAGTCCCGTGTTCCGCTGCTACTGCTGCAGAAAAGATATTTCGCCTATCAATGTTTATGCAGTTGGCGGTCTTGGTAAATAAATAGATAGTACCTTCATATAATGGTTAAATTCATATAATTATTCAAGAGCTCAAAATTCGCCCCCCCCCTAGCAGGTGAACGGGAGACCGACGGGAGCAGGCTGCGGCAGGAGTACTGCCGAACCACATTCATCTGCGTGTTTCACGGCTGGGCTACCGTCTGCGTGATCGTGCTCATGGTAAGAGGGACACCCGACACCGTGCCCCGGCGCGTCGCCCCTGGTATGAGGCGTGTGGCTCTCCTGGCAGAGCCGCGCTTTGGACGGGTACTGGGGAGGAAAGCAGAGTGTGTGCAATGTGCATGGAATGAATGTATCAGGGTGATAACAAGGCTTTAAGCCAGGGGTCGGCAAATGGTGGGGCATGCCCCCTTTGGGGGTAATGGAGCCCTTTCGGTGGGGGTAATGAGGGATTCTGAGAAAACCTATCTTTTTAGAGTTAGGGGCTCCATTGATGGAACCATCGTGACTGTTGCATCCCAGGGTTCAAAGATTAGCCCAGGCACAGCACACATTGATAAGATATCAATTTTCACGTAGCTGCTCGCCTCACCATCCCACCGCGGTTCCGTACAGTCGTACAAAGCTGCAATTTTTAACCGTCGCCCATCTGTTGGCGTTTCAACAGCCGCTAACGTAAGGGGGAGGAGTCGATCGGACCCCCGCGGCCTCTCGGACTCTGAGATGGAGCTGTGCATAAAAAACGAGCGTATTACCCGTGACTATAGGAAGCCGCTGCTGCCCATTTTTAAGGTCCTTGGTCATTTCGTCTCATTCCGGAGGTCAAAGACAAGTTTCGAGAAAATCGGGACCCGCTATAACTTCTTGAAGTGAGATTTTATGGCTCAAGATGACCTCCAGAAAAAGCTCATAAGCCAATGATCATTAGTCCAGAGGCCAGTTTTACCGACAGAAAAATAGCTGCCTGCCGGAATTTTTCGCCTTAAGACCGCTTCACATACGGAGCGTAAACGGTAAAGCCCTATCCACTTCCATGCTCATCGCGCTTACGCTCCGTATGTGAAGCCAATGATTACGTAAACGTAAACTTTAACGGTAAAACCCTATCCACTTACATGCTCATCGCGCTTACGTATGTGAAGCGGTTTTTAGGCAAAAACTCCGGCATGCGGCTATTTTTCTGTTGGTAAAACTGGCCTCAGGAATTCCCGGGCAGGTTAACCCTCGCCCCGTTGGGGGGGGCCATTTTGGCCCCCCCCTGTGGTTTTTCCTGAATAGCAAGAAAACGGCGGCGCGCAGCGCCGCCAAATTTTCAGTACCTTCCCGGGCATCAATTTGACACCTTCACACCAAATTTCAAGTCTTAGGTCACCTTAGGTCAGGAGTTATTGAGGTCAAACTGAGGTCATGTTCGAGCAAAAATGGGCAAAAAACATGCAATCTTGAAACGCTCACCAAATCTACAGTTATCAAGCAATTTCAAAGTTCTTTATATGGTCTAGTAGACAAAAAGCGGCGCTACAAAACTGCTATCTCGGATTTTCAAAATTTTTGGTTTTTGACCAAAAAAAATTCAAAAAATTGATTTTTTTTAGAAAAACTTTGAAAAAATCCGAAAATTTTTCGAATTTCGAAAAAACCGGAATATATGTGGTAGTCCCAGCGCTCTTCTATATACATACCAAATTTCAGATCGATATCTCGTTTTTTGGCCAAGTTATAGCGAAAAAACTGTTCAAAAATGATGACGTCAAATTTTTGAACTCAATTTTTAGCAATTCTAGACCACGTACGGCAAAACAAAGACCACCATTGAACTCCCCGTGACGAGCTGCATCGATTCGATACCCATTTTATGCAAAAATATTAACTTTGAAATTTGACCTAATTTGACCTGACCTTGACCTGACCTTGACCTGACCTTGACCAAAACGTGATCTAAGCTGGCCCCAAAGGCTGCCTGACCCATATAATCGCATTTGTCATGTAAAATGGACCATAAAACATGTATCACACGACACTTTCATATTGTGACCCCCCCGTGACCTGACCTCTGTGACCTGACCTGGTATCAGTGACCTCAAATAGCAAAATATGTGTTTGAAGAACATTTCCCCATCGATGATTTTCAATGAAATGCATTTTACTCGATTTTACAACGCATTTCTTGAAGTGCCTGTAAACGGTGAAAATTGGACCTTTGACCTGACCTGTGACGTCATCGGTTTGACCTAGGTCAATAAAATTGGGTCACAAGGTAGTTCCCCGTTGGGGCTATCCAACGCCGTTTACCGCTTGTCGCTATGTTGCGTGGTTCTCGAGATCTTAGGGGGGGGGGGCCAAAATGGCCCCCCCCCCAACCGGGCGCGTTGCTCGGCAGAGCCCAACGGGGCGCGGGTTAAGAAAAAAATGATTGGCTCGAGGGTACAATTTGGTCGTGATCCAACGGCTTTTACGTGAGTTTTTAACGAAAAACCACCCGCGCCCCTATATGTACGAGGGTTAAATGGGATATACTAAATGCTTTGTGGAGGAAGTGTCATGTTTTAAATTTGATGCATTGGAAATGCAGAAATACCCAAAGAGTTCCAGAAAGGTATGGAATCTCAGTAAACTTGGTTGTGACAGCAATGGGGTCTGGTAGGTGGGGGTAATGGCCCTGCCTGGCGCCTAAAAAGGGGGCACAACCCCGAGTGACCTGCCGACCACTGCTTTAAGCAAACCCCGTGATAACGAACGAACGAACGAACGAACGAACGAACTTGATCGAATGAATGTTAGAATGGTTCAAAGGATGAACGAATGAACTAACCGTGTCAAACTTAGCTTGTTTCTCATCTCCAACCCGACCCTTACAATGACTGTAACGAGTGTCGTCAGTGTCGTAGTCTAGCTCTGTAGACCGAGCGCTGTGTGCCCTCACCCAGCCTAACCTCTGGCCGTCTCCCGGTGTTTGCTGTGCGCTTCAGTTCCTCGTCCTGCGTACTGTGGTCAACAACTTCGGCAGCGCGGTGCAATGGTGCTGTCACCTGCGCTCCCGGCACCGCCGCTCGGACGTCATGAGGGCAGTCGACGCCATCAACATCGGAATGGACAGGAAGTCCTGGGTGAGCGTACCGACATGGACATGACTTTATTGTATATCACATGTTGTTCTACAAAGGCGTGTTATGTTGATGGAGGTATCTGATATTATCTTGGATTTAATACCGTGTATAGACGTTAAATCTGGCCAAAATTCGGTCGATCGCCGTCAGTCATATGTGTTACTCAGTGATTCGGGTGGTTTGAGGCGTTAAGTACAAGTTTCAATTAAAGTTAAGTACAATCGGCCAAGCCGTTCTCGAGATCTGGAAGTGGCACCCTGCAAATGCCGCTATTCGACCCCTGCACGTGCGCACGTGCAGCAGCACCCCAACTGTAGCACATGGATGTGCATCGACGTTATTGTATGCTGCCGATGTAACAGGGCGGAAAATTTGACACAAATCGTTATGGCGCCTGCATTTGCCAGTTGCATCTGTCAGTCAACGCTAGGCTTCTTTGTGTATTCAGCGTGCGAATGCTGTGTCGTAGTTCATGTGTGATGCGCGCGCCATATGCTAAAATATTGCTGGTTTGGATGCTGGTGCTAACACCTGCACTAGCATCTGTGTCGCTTCTAAAAAGCCCGAATTTGAATTGCAGATTTTATAAGACTGCAGAGTGTTTGCTACCGAGAAGTCTCCCTTGGAGCGCCTCTGTAGATTATGGTGATTGGGCAGAATGCGATAAACTATCGGGAAAGTAGCAAACAAAGAAGATAATTTAATATAACTGCACTCTCATCAGAGAGTAGATTGGAAACGGAATAGTCAGCGATAACAAATTCGACGATATAAAAATTGTGACAATGGCATAACATGCAGATGCTGGTATAGACGAACCATGAGACTTAAGAGTTCTATGAGTCATTGTTTCGACATGACACCATTCTGCGGAAAAGTATGCGCATTAACATTGCACGTCGGCCTAACCGGCGCCATGTCCCGCGCCTGCCGCAGGCCAAGAAGTCGCCCTGCTCGCCGCAAATCAAGGCCGAGATCGAGAGCCGGCTGCGCCAGCTGTTTATCCGCTGTGACGTCACGCTGGAGATGGTCGGCAGCCTGAGCTCGCGGCTGGGCAAGTCGCTGAACGCGCGCCCAGAGGCCGAGGACTCGCTGCAGGAGTACCGCTTCACCGAGCCAGTGCTGGGCGCCGACGCCGACTTCATGGTGGTGCTACAGGTGCGGCCGAGAGCACTGGACGGGTGTGCTGACTGCTGTCCCCCCGCTGACCTGTGCTGTGACCGCACTGACTGTGTGCTGTGACCCCGCTGACTGTGTGCTGTCGCCCCGCTGACCTGTGCTGTGACCCTTCTGACCGTGTGCTGACTGCTGTGACCCTGCTGACCGTGCTCTGTGACCCCGCTGACCTGTGCTGTGACCCCGCTGACCGAGTGTTGTGACCATTCTGACCTGTGCTGTGACCCCGCTGACTGTGTTGTGACCCCGCCGACCGAGGGCTGTGACCCTGCTGACCGTGCTCTGTGACCCCGCTGACCTGTGCTGTGACCCCTCTTGATCTGTGCTGTGACCATTCTGACCTGTGCTCCATCCCCGCTGACCGTGTGCTGTGACCCCGCTGACCGTGTGTTGTGACCCCGCTGACCGTGTGCTGTCACCCCTCTGACCTGTGCTGTGACCCCGCTGACCGTGCTCTGTGATACTGCTGACCGGTTGGCTGGGAGGATGCCAGAGGATGTAGCGGTAGCGATATTTGGCGTCACACGGGGATCGACTTCACTGATAATGGCGTGGTGTTAGGCCTCTTTAATTTTGTTTGCTGAGGTTGAAAGACGCGTCAACTTTTGGGTCATTATGTGCCCATCACTTTGACATTAAGAAGCGTGAGTGATGCACTAGATGGCTGATGCATTGTCTGTCTTGTGTCAGTGGTCGGTAGGTACTTCCTGCCGCAGTGCCGCGTATGAGGTGTGCCGTGTTGGTTATACTGCCTTCCCCGGCGCTGTGTTTGTCTCTGCAGTCGGTGTCGTGTACGAGCTGCCGTATCCGCCGTGTGCCGATCATGTGCCTGTGTCTGTCTGTCGTGTACGAGCTGCCGTATCCGCCGTGTGCCGATCATGTGCCTGTCTCAGTCTGTCGTGTACGAGCTGCCGTATCCGCCGTGTACCGATCATGTGCCTCGTGTGCCGGCAGGTGCCGATGGCGCCCACCACGGCCGGTGGCCGCGAGCTGCCGCGATACATGCTCGACGGCGTGCCGCCCTACCTGACGCTGTCGCCCTTCACGGGCGCACGCGCCGCGTCGGGATCGTCGCTGGCGCGCCGCTGGTCGCCCGGCACGCCGCCGGCCGAGGCTGCGGCCGGCTCGGAGGCCGGTCTGGAGCTGCACTCGTTCACGGCCCGGCCGGATACGGCGCTCAGCGTATGTCCGCTCACCAGCTCACCTTCACTGCCCGCGGCCGAGCGGAGCGGGGGCCGAGGGGTGACCAAGGCTGGAGGCGGGGATGCCGGCGGCGGAGACAGTACTGGAGACACGCCTGGGGGAGGGGTGACCAAGGCTGTAGGCGGGGCTGTCGGTGGCGGAGACAGGACTGGAGACACGGCTGACGGCGGCGGAGATGGGGCTGTCGGTGGCGGAGACGGGACTGTCGGTGGCGGAGACGGCAGAGACACGGCTGCCAGAGACGGGTCTGCAGACGGCGGAGACGGGGCAGGGGACAGGACTGCCGGCGCCGGAGCTAAAGCTGTCGCCACCGGGCGGTTCCGGTGCACCAGTCTGGGGACGGACTGCGCCGGCGCCGCTGCCGCTGTCGGCGGCCTGCCGCCGGGACAGCTGGGGCCTCCGGGAGAGAACGGCGTCAGCGATGGCTCGGGAGGTCTTAGAACGGACCCGGACGGAGAGACAGCGACACTGCGGCGCTCCGTCAGCCTCACACAGGTGAGAGCGACAGGCGGCCTCACAGAGGTGAGAGCCACAGGCGGCCTCACACAGGTGAGAGCGACAGGCGGCCTCACAGAGGTGAGAGCGTTAGTCAGCATCACAGAGGTGATAGCGACAGGCGGCCTCACACAGGTGAGAGCGACAGGCGGTCTCACAGAGGTGAGAGCGACAGGCGGCCTCACACAGGTGAGAGCGACAGGCGGTCTCACAGAGGTGAGTGTATGACGCTCCGTCAGCCTCACAGAGGTGAGAGCGCGGCGGGTAGGGCACCGTCGGAGGACCTAGTCTCGTCAATTAGCTAGAAATAGAGCGAGTAGGTAATTAAGATATGGATCGATGAGTTTTGTTGAGCTCTTTGCTTAGTGCTTTCTGTCAGAGACAGTTTGTATCACTGGTGACAGTTACAATGCTTAATTTGCATCTTTTTCTTCATCGTTATCATTTTCATAGTAGTTTCTTTATAGCCAAGGAACTCCTGTGACAAATCATTCGATATAACTTTATTCCCGCAATTATCCATAAATCGTGACGTTTCCTCTCCTGAATTCAATTCCATAACTCCAGTCGGAAGTCTGGTCACAATTCACCGAAGCTACTTAGACCTGTGACCTCGCCCTGGGTGTGACCGTGTGACCTCGCCCTGGGTGTGACCGTGTGACCTCGCCCTGGGTGTGACCGTGTGACCTCGGCCCCGGTGTGACCGTGTGACCTCGCCCTGGGTGTGACCTCTGATTTACCGTGTGACGTCGCCCTGGGTGTGACCGTGTGACCTCACCCTGGGTGTGACCGGTCGGCCGGGTGTGGGTGCCGCAGATGCCCGTTCTGCTGCGATTCCCCACGCTGGAGGCCTCGCGCCAGGAGAGCACACCACCGGGGTTCGCGCACGTGCAGCTCTTCCTGGACCGAGTGCTGCCGGAGGACCGCAGCTGGTGGCGAGACGCCATGAGCGAACCGGTCGGCGGGGCGCTCTACCTCTCCAGGTAGGCGAATCTACCTCTGTGTGTTCGAGAATCCACCTCTCCAGGTGGGCGAATCTACCTCTCCGGGTGAAACTTCACCTCTAACCGGGTGACTTTTGACGTCTCGATGTGTTTGTTCGTTCATAAAGTTGGGACAGCACCTACTGTGAATGGTCGCGATAAAATGCTTAGAGACAGGGGCGTCGCCGACGGGGGGGTCGGGGGGTCGTGACCCCCCCACTCTTGAAAACTGGGGGTGTCGACCCCCCACTTTTTGCGATGCTGAGTATGCTTTTTTAGCTTTTATGTCAGTGAAGCAGGCGTCAGCAACACCAACAAATACATCAGATTCAAAATCGCTTCAAGAGCTCCCTAAAGCCAATTAGCCAATTACCTAAAGTTCAATTAGCTGTGGGCGGGGAACACCAGCACAACAATGTTTTTAAGTAGCCCCCATCCTAGTACCTTTTTATCCCTCAAAGGATTGGACGCGCCAAAACTGCCCCGAGCGTTCGTCTGATCGTTTTAAAAAAATGGTCGCAGTCGATTCGTCGGATCAGTACCTAACTACAAAACTACAAACTAGCCTCAGCCCCATGGCTACCGTCACAACTAGCTGTACAGTGCACATGTAGGGGAAAGGGAGTCAGATGGAACCGTCTCGGGCTTTCGCAAAGAAGTCGCGCAAAAAGGAGCCGATTGCAACAAAACTTCCGGTGCGCTCGAGTTAATCACCTACTTAAAATAAATCGATATCCCTGATTCAAATAAAGATGACCCGAGTTCACTTTTTCATAACGTGCTTTTAATTGATAGGGTAGTTTTTGGAGCTGATTTTGAACTTAGCGCCCATCTGAACATTTAAGAAGTAGTTGTGTTGCTTATTCATATAACATGCTAGGAAGCAATCGGTGGTGGTCATCCACTATTAGGTACTGGTCGATCTGACCTGACCTGATCTACCCCAAATGCATGGAGTCATCATCTTCGTTCAAAACTAAGATAACATTCGTAATCAGAACCTCGAAAAACCATCACAACTTACATTCGTTAAGTTCCAGCAGGTCCCGAGTTTCTCTACTTATTGGCGATGACCTGAGTCCTGAGATGACCCGAAAACTTGTAAATGGGTATCATCGGCTTTCTCTCGTCACGGGCAGTAGGGTAAGGGCGGGTAAGAGTACGCGGGCGATAAGAGTACGCATCAGCTGTTTCGGTTGCTTAGCAACGCGGGTTTGTCGAGTTCATGAAGTGACATGAAGCCGCCAGTGCGTGCATGTCACCAACGGAACGTGGGCGTTGAGCGGCGACGCTGTTGAGTTTAAGGCGATGAATATTATTTTCGAGCGTTATGATATTATTATGATATGGTACAATAATTTTGATACTTGGCAGTTGAGATAAGGTACATTTCCGTGATTGTTGTGGGAAACTTGTGAGGGTATCTGGGGAAATACTGTACAGTGCAATATTCTGTTTGCGAAGTTTTGCACAACGTTTCGGGGTTGTTTTGTGCGCGAATTGATGTACGGTAAGAGGACGCACTGTTCAGGAGGGTAAGAGTACGCAGAATTATACATTAAATCGAATATACAGAAATATAGAATTATTAATCTATCGCTCAATGACGATTGTTTTGTAGGTATATCATCAATGGAGCACTGTGATGCAGATGCGTACCCGAAATTCTTCCAAATACGAGCTATTCTCCTTTTTGATTGTGCATTTTTTTTTAAGAAACACGCGACATGATTATTTCCTGATTTATAGACTTGAAAGATTTATTTTGTTTTTCTTTTTGGATACTAGAATTAACTTAAATGCCTTCTGAGTTTGAAGTTAAGCATTTGGACAGTGCAAGCTGCATAGGTGTGTTTTCATATGCTTGCGTACTCCACCCGCCTGGCGTGCGTACTCTTACACACCCCATATGGTAAGAGTACGCAAGTGCAACGGTTCAGAAAATGTCAGTTTTAGACCACTTCCATTTACGCTGAAGGATTGTTGCCCCATGGGTTGATGGCTAATTCAATGAACTTTAATATTCCCTATTTGCGATTTCTTTCCTTCAAATATTAAACAAATGAGAGCAAGAAATCCACTAAGTGCGTACTCTTATACGACTTCACCCTATGCTCTTTTTTCCGCAAACCTGTAGATCGATCAGGGGTCGAAAGCATGCCTCAGCGTTAGTTTAGTATACGTTATACGTTAGCGACTGGGAAACCGCCAATAGAAGGGCTACAGTGAAGCAGAAAACTATTCGATAGCTCTTTTAACGCTCTTTCGCTAGCTTCGCGTTAGATTTCATCTCAGGTCTATGTTTGGCCCATAAGAAGGCAAACAGCTAACTGGACAGATTCTGCCGAAACATCTGCTTTGCAATAACTTTCGATTCCGTGAATTTGTATGGTATGTACATATGTTGTCTTGTCACCACCGTCTTGATCTCTTTGAGACGCGTCACATGAGTTAAAATTTGACCATTCAGAATTAACGTTAAAACGACCTCAGGTCAACGTTATGTCCTGATCGAAAAAGGACCTCCTGCTGCATATGAATGGATCCGTGTTGTTGAGCTGAACAGTGAACACCTTCCAGGTGCTGTCATCGCTCTACCGCGTCTTCGTCAAAAGTTGTAGAAAAAAATGCTGGTGGCCATCGATGGACATTTCCACTAATGACCTTTCGAGTCATCATTCGCCATAAGTTGCACCCTGTCCCTGGCAATGATGAGCTGATTTGTCATGGCTCCAAAAATATTTTGCGTTTCTGACGAACTTTTTCAAAGCAGTAGGCATTCGTGCTTTTTCTAATTTCTCATTATTTTCTAATGATGAGGTCACGTATTTGACCTGCCTTCAGATCATAGATGTAAATCCTCAGTTAGAATCATGAATTGCTGACACGTATAACCCCATACATTAGGTACCTATACAGTGTACCAAATTTCGAAGTTATGGAAGAAAAGCTACAAGAATGGCGAGAGGGGAAAGTTTTTATAGAGGTATACCGTATAACTGAACTTGACATGGCGACCTGACCTTAAGTGACCAGTGATAATTTTTACGCAAGTGATGTAGGTAGGTATACCTACCTAAAAGGTTATACCAAATTTGGCGGCGCTGCGCGCCGATTTGTTACACACGCACACACACACATACGCACGCACAAAACTGGGAAGTGTGGCAAAAAAAACCCTACCCATCGGGTGAAGACTAGAAACCCGACCCCCCCCCCCACTCAAAAATCCGTGGCGACGCCCCTGCTTAGAGAAGACAAATTATCCCAGTTGTGGTTTATGATGTAGTGGGTTACAAATGTGCCGTCCATTTCGTCAGACTTGCACTGTCCGATCTGATTTTCTATGCAGCCAGCTCGTGGTAACTGTTAACTAGTTGCAACTGACTGTTGATAATCCTAGGACCTGCGAGCGATTGGAATGCTAGCTCGCTCGTCCACCGTTATTTGCGGCTGCTAGCCCTAAAGTGTCCCACGACTTTCTGTGTTTTTCAGTAAGAAGGCGCGCCAGCTGATGCGCGACATGTTCGAGAGCCTGCAGCTGACGGTGGAACAGGACCGCCAGAGCATGTCCATGGTGGACAGGTGTCTGGCCGACTACCGCGGCGAGCCCAGGTAACTGTTCACCGCGCTGTCCAACTGGGACGGCCGGCCGGCCCTTCTCACCGCGCTGTCCGACTACCGCGGCGAGCCCAGGTAACAGTGAGACGGCCGGCCGGCCCTTCTCACCGCGCTGTGTACCTACTTCATTTGATTATTTGAAATTGTCTAACTGGCATGTCTTGTCTATTTTGATGAGGCGTGCCCGTGTTTAACCTTTTCATCAAATATCATCCTGTCCTCGTCCCTAGAGCATTTACTGAAGGCATTAGGTGGCAGCCTCAGATGCAAGCGCTACTCTGGTATTCTTCTCGCACGCGGCTGCAAAACGCTCCCATATGTACCCAAATATCCGCTTCACACTAGGTGCCAAACTCGCACCGACCGGCTTGCGAAAATGGCATATGAATCATATGTTTGCGCTCAAGTTTGCCGATAACTCACTTCCAACACGTTGTGACACGCCACTCATGCTAATGTGTCCGCCGGACGGTGCATTTCAGCTATGACAAGGACGTCAAGTCGCGAGGGCCGGCGGTCACCCTGAGGCTAACGCAGACCGACGACCGGGCCATCGCCAACATGCCCTTCTTCCAGAACAGCTGCTGCCACTGGCTTTGTATCTGCTGCAGCGTCATTCTGCTGCTGCCCTTCTGCGTGTGGATCTTCCTCACCGGAGGCTCGTGGCCGGTCAGTGAACTCCACCACCTGACGATTTTCACGACTTTTTCACACAATATTAGTTCAGCTCATCAGAGGAAATCACCATGCAGGCGAATCATCGAATTTTTCAGAAGTTTTGTCAGGTGTTTTCAAGTTCGCTGGCATGTTTACCTCAGAAAGTACTCCGAACATTCCCAAGAGGGTCAGTCAGTGAATGATCGATATCTACAGGGTGTAACGAAATTATCCGGACACCTTTCGTCGCGCTGTAATTAAGAAGCAAGACAATCTGATATTTTCCCTTTTGAATGATTATGTAGCCACCTTTCATAAGAGCGCAGGTACAAATTTCTGGAGCATTCCAGCCACTGGGTTTTCCAGCACAGTGGGTTTCATGTAGAGCAGCGCCTTACTAACCTGTGCCCACAGCTGGGCGGCGCTGGTGGCGGGTGTCCCCTCATTCATCTCCTGCTGGACAATAGTCCATAAGATATCGATGGAATTGGGATGGGAACTATTTCCAAGCCATAGCCCGTTAGCCCAGAAGAACAATAGGTCCTTTCGGCATCACGTCTCATACTGCTAGGGACTTGAAGGTGGTGCGCCGCCCCGCATGAAGACTGCGCGACTTGAATCAGGCATCAGTACGCGTTCAGAAACCGAGCCCTCCTGTGCCGTCTGGTTCAGTGGCTCCAACCAATCGCTAGCCATGATGTTGCACCGGTAATACTCGTCACTGATAGTGGTTTTCTGTGGCGTCATGAACAGCTTGAATATTGCACAGCAGCTGAACATGCTCCAGGTCTGAATTTTGGCCGGATGTTTGACGCCGGCGACGGCCGGCATGTTTGAGCTGCTGGCAGCCCACACATGGCCGATTTGACGGTTCAACGGACATCGCAGCTCGAACAGCTTCCCATCTGACCAGGCCAGCTCATTCATGTCTTCCTTCGACCAGTGGACACGCCCTGGCCTGAGGCCAAACGTGGTGGACTGGTTGTTTTCCCGTCAATTTCATTGGCTTTTTCACTTTGAAGAGCAGTAAAACCAAGCTAAAGGGCGGGTAACGGTGAATCATGATGTGGGACCTCTTATTATCTGCCTTGGTAAGAATTCGAGTCAGTTTGCGGATTAATTGGTGCCGTTTCCTTGTCGCTATCCTGACAACTCTCCTCACCACTTGGCAAAGGGCGCCCTTCGCGATCGACGCCGGGCTGAGTCTGCCACCAAGTCCAAGCTTATTACGTCTCAGGCAGATGTGCTACTGGCTGCTGCTGATGTCCAGCTGCTGACAGACCAGCTTCTGGCTCATGCCACCATGCCACCAACACGTAGCCTTACTACGAAACGAGAGACTGAACTCCCTTCTCTCCATTGCCTTAAACGAAAACTATCAAATGAACCCGTCGGCGACTCGACTCTTACTCAGAGCAAGAGTCATTTCGCAAGGTCAGGGTCACTGCTGAGTTGAGAGCAGCTATCAGAGGTATGCATTCATCCAACTTTCCAGCTTCTAACATTAAAAAAGAAACTTTGCGAGCAGATATGGCGAAAAAATAGATGTCCGGATAATTTCGTTACACCCTGTATAGCCGCAACTGAAGTTCGTATGATCGAGTGTCGGCCTGTGTGCCATGCCGTTTTAAACGGACGATGTGAAATACCGTGTATGCAATGCCAACATTCAGATGGCATTGCTAGATTGGGGAAATACCGCTGTTCACCAGAATCTCAAATCTTGTCCGGTTGCGCAATATTTGCTAACCTTCCGGCGATTACGTGACAAAAGATCGTAAGACAAAAGATCGTATGGAAAAAGATCGTACGAAAATGATCGTAAGATAAAGATCGTATGTTGTAAAAGATCGTACGGTAAAAAGATCGTAAGCAAAAGATCGTAAAGCAATTGATCGTATGCAAAAGATCGTACGAAAATGATCGTAAGATAAAGATCGTATGTTGTAAAAGATCGTACGGCAAAAAGATCGTAAGCAAATGATCGTAAAGCAATTGATCGTATGAAAAAGATCGTAGGAAAATGATCGTAAGACAATTATCGTATGTCGCAAAAGATCGTACGACCAAGGATCGTAAGCAAAAGATCGTAAAGCAATGGATCGTACAAAAAAGATCGTAGGAAAATGATCGTAAGATAAAGATCGTATGTTGTAAAAGATCGTTCGACAAAAGATCGTAACGTTACGTTCGTAAAGTAAATAATCGTATAGAATAGTGTTGTTACGAGCGAGCGAGCGCAGCGAGCGAAGCGAAGTCTAGTTTTTACGAGCGAGCGAGCGCAGCGAGCGAAGTGAAGTCTTTTCAATATAACGGAAAAATCTCAGTATGAGCGGCCCGGCCCGGCCAGGCCCGGCCTGTAACGCTTTTGAGAGGCTAAGGCTTATATCTCAGCAACCGCTGGACCGATTGGCCTGCGGTCTTTTTTGCTGGGTAGCCCCATCCCTTCTACCCCGTAATTGACTACTTTTGATACATCTCAGTGACCGCCGTGGCACGTGCCACGTGAAAAGTCAAGGGTGTTCAAGCAGTTTTGCAAAAGTAATGATTTTGAGAGGGCCATATCTCAGCAGCGGCTTGAGCGATTGTCTTGCGGTCATTTTTATAGGGTAGCTGCATCCCTTCTACCAAAGGTCGGATACTCTTGATCTATGTGAGTGCAAATTCACTGCACGTGCAAAATACAACAATAAGAGGTGCCAAAATTGTTCCCATTTCAGTAACTCGGTAATTACTGGGGCGATTTCGCTGAAACTTGGCATACAGGTAGGCACGCATTCCCATGTGTTGCGGTTAGGGTGCTACTGCACGTGCGCACGTGCAGGGGGCGTTTCCAGATCTCGAGAACGGCTGGGCCGATTGCGCTCAAATCTGGTACACGATTGGGGACCGGTTAGTAGGGTGCCGTGCAAAAGTCATTTTGGACCCCGTTTGCACGTGCGCACGTGCAGAATGCCGCTTCCAGATCACAGGAACGGCTGGGCCGATTGCGTTCAAATTTGGTACACCGCTAGCGACCGGTTAGAAGGGTGCTTTGCACAAGCCTGTTGGAAGTACCCTCTCGCCCTTCTACACGTGCAGGGCTCACTATCTCGCTCGCTCGTTCTTCGCCCAAAAGGCGTTTTACTGGTGAATATAACGGGAAAATCTCAGTATGAGCGGCCCGGCCCGGCCCGGCCTGTAACGCTTTTGAGAGGCTTATATCTCAGCAACCGCTGAACCGATTGGCCTGCGGTCTTTTTTTTGCTGGGCAGCCCCATCCCTTCTTCCCCGTAATTGACTACTTTTGAGTTTTGATACATCTCAGTGGCCGTCGTGGCACGTGCCACGTAAGAAGTCAAGGGTGTTCAAACAGTTTTGCAAAAGTAATGATTTTGAGAGGCCCATATCTCAGCAGCGGCTTGAGCGATTGTCTTGCGGTAATTTTTATAGGGTAGCTGCATCCCTTCTACCAAAGGTCGGATACCCTTGATCTATGTGAGTGACCCCTAATGCACGAGCAAAATACAAAAAGAAGAGGTGCCAAATTTGTTCCCATTTCAGTAACTCGGTAATTACTGGGGCGATTTCGAACCAATGATGGACAATTGACATCTTTAACCCTCGCCGGACCTATTGGTTTTCTACATACGCGCCGGCCGAGGGGGGGGGGGCGGGTACGACCCCCCCCCCCCTCGCCGTTTCGCCCCTGGTGGAGCTAGCGCGTCGCGGAAAAAACGAGCGTGTGCGCCGTTACGAGACACAGAGATTGGTACCCGATTTTAAGGTCCTAGGTCAACTGGTGACCTCTGAGGTCAGGTCAAGTGCCCCAAGGTACGGTTCAATTTTTGGTGAATAACTTCGCAAAAAAAAACGGCCGCAGAGCGCCGATTTTGGCAGCATCGTGCTCGCCTCGCTCAGGTGCGTCGAATGATATACTTTTTGTCCGGGTCAGGTCAACTTGGGGTGTTGACCTCAGGTCAAGGTCAGGTCAGCACCCCCAGGTCACGAAGTTGGTCGAAAGAGGTCATGTTGCATATCATTCGATTCGGCAGGCCTTCCTGAGTCCATTGGTGGCTTTCCCGGCTCGCTAGCTCAATTTGATCAAGAGTTATTGGCGAAAAACTAATATGACCTTGATGACGTCATAAATGACGTCACGCAAGGTCAACATTGCAAAAGTGACGCATCTAACCTTGCAAGGAGTGCATCAAATCACGATTCTGTGTGCTTGAGATAGTTGGAGATCGTTCCCGGCGTCAGAATAGCAGTTTTCATTTTTCCCCGTTGACTTATAATGGTGATGTCACGAAAATGACCTGACCTCATATGACTTTTAGAAAAAATCCGAGATATACAAGTTGTGGGACTCATAATGGATACTAGATCCTGCAAGTATCATTTCACTGTGACATCTCCTCTGGCAGTGAGGGCGTTGCAAAGTTGCGATATCTGAAGACCGTGCAGAGGTTCACTTATGACGTCATAGGTCAGTGACCTGACCTGACCCAAAAATGCGGTTGGTGTCAAAAGATCCGGCTTGGATCAAAGGTCAGGTATGCCAAGTTTCAGCTCTCTATCACCAGCGTGTTCGGAGCTATTGCGAAAAAAAAAAACCTATGAGGGGGGGCGGCACCCGCCCCCCCCCTCGGCCGGCGAGGGTTAACCGGCCTTCGATAACAATGACTCCTATAACTAGGATTGGATTGAAACTAGGATCCTATGACTAGGAGAATTGCGACTTCGATAGTGATAACGCGATAAACATCTGTTGATGACTCGTAAAGCGATGACGATTCAATATGAAAATGTAACAGTGCGAAGGAAAAAGTATTTTTAACGCCGTTTACTTCAGCCCTTAAAGGGAGATAATGACCTTTTTCCACAAAATCTGAATTAGGACCATTTTCTGACAAAACACAACAAGTTATAATGTAAATTAAAACCATTTTGCTCAATTCGGTACCTTGCCGCAAATATCTCAACTTGAAGTCACGTTAGCGGGGAGCACTGAAAATGACCGTTGAATATAA